CCACCTTACCAAACATGATATCCTGCTCCAGTGACTGGTCCCTCCTGACAATATGTCCAAAGTATGAGAGACGAAGTTTGGCCATCTTGGCTCCCAAGGAGCACTCTGGATGCACTACTTCCAAAACAGATAATTAGTTCTTTTGGCAGTCCACGGCACTTTCAATATCCTCCTCCAACACCATAACTAAAATGCATCAATTCTTCTAAGGTCTTCCTTATTCACTGCCCAACTTTCACATGCATATGAGGTTATTGAAAATACCATGTCTTGGATCAGGTACACCTTAGTCCTCAAGGTGACTTCTTTGCTCTTCAACACTTTAAAAAGGTCTTGTGCAACAGATTTGTGTAATGCAATATGTCGTTTGAGTTCTTGACTGCTGCTTCCGTGAATGTTGATGGTTGATCCAAGAAGAATGACATCCTTGACAACTTCAATCTTTACTCCATTTATGTGGATGTTGTTAATTGGTCCAGTGGTGAGGATTTTTGTTTTCTTTACGTTGAGCTATAATCCATACCGAAAGCCAATAGATTAGTTAAATATAATATTTTTGGACCTAACTTTTTTGTTCTATTTTTAATTTCGCGTACTATATCCCCACTGACATTAAGTAGATTCCAACTCATAGTGACCCTAAATAGTTTATATTCATATAAAGCCTCCATATGTAAACTCATAGGTTCTGAGACTCACATCTTTACTGGAGGAGAAAGTCTCATCTTTGATGAAGGGGAGCATTTCATCACTCTTGGAATAGCTGGTGGATTTGAACTGGGAACCTTTTGGTTAGCAGTCCAGTGGCTATCCTACATGCCACCAGGCTTCCTCCTATAAGATGTACCTTGACTGTTTGTGTATATTTATTCCTAGATATACTTAAAAATATCTATAATTAGAGTCCTGGCATTGCCATATAGGATAACTACTGGACTACTAACTGCAAGGTTGACAGTTCAAACCCACCAGCCACTCCTATGAGTACAGGGTCACTATGAGTCAGAACAGAATCAATGGCACTTAACAGCAACAACAATAATTAAAAGCCCAGATTTTGCTGTAGGATAAGCACTGCACTACCAACCATAAGGCCAACATTTCAAATCCACCAGCTGCTCCTTGGAAGAAAGATGAGCCTTTCTGCTTCTAAAAAATATTTCTAGTTTTGGAAACCCTATTCAGGGTTGCTATGAGTCTGAATTGACTCAAAGGCAGTGATTTTGAGTTTATAATTAAAAAGGTAACTCATCTGAGTATGTCCATATACCACTATTATACAGTTTGCAGATAATGCCATTGAGACCCATAGAGTCATCATTGGCTGGTTTTCTTTCATAAGTAGATCATGTGACCCTCTATGAACACTGTAATCTGGAAATGTTCCTGAAATCTGTTAGACATCCTAGCAACAAACAAGACAACACTGATAGAAGTGTGGTG